TTTCATTTGTGAAGAGAGAATGGCTCACCTAAAGATCCACGGTTTGGTCCAGATCCGCAGCACAAACAGGAGCAAGCACACCAGGGCATCTCAGTGGAAGGAAGCAGTCATCGAAGTAGTAGAAAGAAAACAGAAAGTTAATCTGGTGGTCTCTTTCAAGTTGGAAGAAAGGAGAAGGGTTTTTCAGCTGGGTGATAACGTTACAGGCGTAGCCCTTAGTGGTGAGCTGGGACTGTATCATCTGGATTTAACTCTGAGAGACGACACATCCTTACTCATTGACAAGTTATCCGCTGAAGACGTCGAACATCTGAAGCCGTTCCTGGATTTCCCTACTCCGTATGAAGCTGAACAACCCATGGAGCCTGAGAGTAATCAGGATGCCCTTGAAAGCAGTGATCCATTTTGCAGTGAGCACCAAGAGGCAGCCTGTGGGTCCCTGAGTATCACTTCGGAAAGTGGGACACTACTCTCCCGAAAGATACCGCTCTGTATGTCAAGCATCACAGGCAGTCATGCTGACAAAAAGAGAGGAGAAAAACAAGGCAGAAAGAGGAAGACAGAACCATCAACATCCACTGCAGAACCGAGCAAGGAGGTTCCCAAAGAAAACGCTCCTGAGCAAAAGAAGAAATCCAGGCGATATTATTCCAGGAATAAAGGCAAAGCAGAGAAGCCTGTGACTTTAAGAGAACAAGAGAAGCGCAACAACTGGAAACTTGAACCTGCTTTCAGTTCCAAATCCTACGGAAAGCCTCACCTAGATGGCACTATTCTTCCAATCGCGACATGCTCTGATGACAGAGATGTATCAATATTTGGCCTGGAGATCATAACACATAACGGAGTCCAGTCTCTTTCTGACCCTTACCTAAATCAACTAAAACGTGAAGGCTTCCCCAATTTGGGAAATACTTGTTACATGAATTCCATTTTACAATCTGTCTTTGGAATTCCAACCTTCGCAAAGGACTTACTCACTCAAGGTATCCCTTGGGAGAAAGTTTCCTATGATGACCTTATCATGCCTTTAAGCCAGCTTCTTGTCTTGAAAGACATTCGGGACATAGAGATCAAGGGAGAGTTACTCACCAGTGTGAAGAAGTCCATTTCCACAGTCGCAGACACATTCTCGGGCAATGAACAGAACGATGCCCATGAGTTTTTAAGTCTGTGTTTAGACCAGCTGAAACTGAACATGGAAAAAGTAAATGCCATGTGGGCTAGTGAGAGGAGAAACATGTGTGCTGGGACCTCTACCACCAAAAGGTTTGTTTGTCCCGTTGGTGCTAATTTTGAATTTGAGCTGCATAGCTCCATCGTCTGTGAAGGCTGTGGTGAGGCTACTATCAAAACCGAAGTGAGCAACTATCTGTCCATTGACCTGCACCACGGGACAAAAGCACACCCTCTCTCAATTCAAAAGTCTTTTGATCTTTTCTTTACACCAGAAAAAATCGAGCATAACTGTGATAAATGCAAGAACAAGAATTCTGTTCTCAAGTACACACTGAGGAGACTCCCCAGGGTCCTCATTGTTCATCTGAAACGCTACCAAGTTACCACTGACTTGTTGCCGGTGAAGAGTGAGCAGCCAGTTGAGATTTCTAAGTATCTAAATATATCTTCCCACTGCCATGAAAACAGGAAGCTACCGTTTCCTTTGCTCAATACACCTCCACGCCTCTCTCCAGGTATTATACCTGAGATCTTCAGCCAGTCAATGCTATCTAAGAAGATGACTTCAGAATCCTGTGACCCCATGATTCTACAGGTTGGATCCAGTGTGGATGCCGAAATACAAAGCTTCCAGATAATGTATGAGGATGACGATGCCAGTGAGGATGACGAGGAGCCGCAGAGCAGCCTGGAAGGTGGTTCTTCTATGCTAGAGCCAGAACTAGTGAAGACAGAAAACAGGCTACTCAGACAGAAGATATCACCAGCATCTGACTCGATGATGGGTGAGGGATACAGCTTCCTTCCTATGCTCTGTGAGCCTATGAGCATTCAAGATCCAGGTCTTGCGGAGATGGGTCTTCAAGAGGTTCCAGAGAATCCAGAATTTAAGAACTTTGAGAAAATTAACCTATACGGAAAGTCAGATTGTCGCACTGAGTTGTCAAAACTCTACCAGAGTCATGGAAGCCGAATCAAGGGTCCGTTTCTACCGACATCACTTGCAAGTGTTAGTTCTCCCGAAGATCCAGACAAGGACCTGAGTAGGTCTTCAGATTTGGAGGAAGATGACCCACATTCCTTTGCACTGGGTTCTGATGATTCAAAGGATGTGGAGATGGGAGATGATCTTCAGAATTACAGGCTCGTCAGTGTTGTCAGCCATTTTGGGAGCTCCCCAAATTCAGGCCATTACGTAAGTGATGTGTATGACTTTCAGAGGCAAGCCTGGCTCCTTTACAGTGATGTCCAAGTGTTCGAGAGTTCAGATCCCTCCATTCAAGAGAATAGGCTAAACAGCGGATACATTTTCTTTTACATGCATAACGAGATTTTTGAGGAACTGTTGAAAAAGGCATCGGAGTGCAGAGTCCTTAGCACATCCAAAGATGAAAAGAGGGACATAGATTATTTCTCAACACTGCTTAACGGCCTTACATACATCCTAGAAGAATTCTAAATCCTGCCTATAATGAAGACGAGTCACATAGCTCAAGACGAAAACTCGGCGAAGAAAAAACAAAAAAACGAATGGACATATTACAACAGAAACACAGGCCTTGCTGATGCAGGCTATGCACCATTCTTTCCTTCAAGGCTAAATGGTGCTTTTCCTGTTTTGTGGTGGTTTTAATTTATTTACAGATGTTAATAAAACTCGTCATTTTGAGACTGCCATTTGTTCACATAGTAGGAGATCTGGAGAGATGATGCAGTAGCTGAGAATGCCAACTGCTCTTAGAGAGGACCCAAGCTTGATTCCCCGATACCTATGTTAGGTGTGAGTGCATGGGTTCTAGGAGGCTGGAGACATAAGATAGCCTGGAATAGGAATGACAAGTGATAGTGAGCTGCCTGACTTGGGTTCTAGACCTGAACTTAGGTCTTCTGCAAGGACAGTTTCCACTTTTAAACACTAAGCCACCTCTTGGCTTTCATTCTAATTTTAGTGTGTGTGCTATCCACATGAGCAAAGCATGATGCTTTTTAAATGTTGTTCTGAACCAGTACAACACAGCAAGGAACCAATAAGGTCAAACGCTGAGGTTCAGTGTCAGAAACAACAACAGTAGTTACTTAAAAGTTTGAGAAACGTTTATTTAGTGTGTGGAGTGTCCTATTAAATTTTAGTGTATATATAAATCGCTCATGTCATCCAGAGGCTCCTCATTGGGTTTTCCCTCTTAAACTCATAACATTGTTCTTTTGTTAGTTCATTAAAACCATTGTTTTCCATATGTGTTTGTGATTCATCAATGAGATCATATAGCTACCCACCACTTGGTTTTGTGCTTCTCAGAATTACAGGGTACATTAAAGTTACACAGGAAATTAAATAGAATAGTATTTGCAAACTGAAAAGCACTCTAAGGACTGTGGGTAAAACCACCTGCCACCAAGCCCCATGACCCAAGTCCAATGAGTTGGCCTCTGACCTTTAGGGAAGCTATCACATGAGCACCCATAATAAATGAATGAATAAAATCTAATTTTCTAAAGGTTTACTCATTTACTGTGTATATAGTGTTCTGCCTTCTTGTAGGCCTACACATCAGAAGAGAACACCAGATCTCATTAAAGATGGTTATGAGCCACAATGAGGCTGTTGGGAATTGAGCTCAGTACTTCTGGTAGAACAGCCAGTGCTCTTAACGGCTGAGCCATCTCTTCAGCCCCTAAAATTTAATGTTTTGAGATCTTACTATATAGTTCTGACTGGCTTGGAACTCTATATAGATCAGGCTACCCCTAAACTCAAGAGATTTGCCCTGCCTCTGGGGTGCCGGTATTGAAGGTCTGCACCACCGTGCTTAACACAATGAAAAGTTTAAAGCACTTTAAAGTGCCAAATAGACTTGTTAAGATATAAGTCAGGATTGACATGAGAAAAATGGGGTGGTTCAAGGTAGAGGATAAGGGCTACATTGTCCTGCAGGTGAAAGCTTCATTAGAAGATAGTAATACCACTAACAGCATGGTGGGGTTCTAAAGAGAGAACCTTTAACTGACAAGACAAAGCAAGGTTCCCTTTCATTTCCAAAGGAAGCCTCATGTTATAAAGCAGTTAAAAAGTAGTGCATGTTTTCCCCTGATGCTGGGCTGTGAGGGGAAGGCAACAATAAGCTGATGTTACTGTCTACATAGTGTGTAGCCTGATATGAGACACTAACACCACATTTAATAGTGTTTCAAACATGAAAGAATATAGTACAGAACCACTTACAAGGGTCTAGGGAGATAGTTCCGTAGGTAAGGGTCATGCACAAGCATGGGGACTTGAGTTCAAATCTCTAGCACCCACTTAAGTTGGTCATGGCCATCTATACCTGTGACTCTAGCACTGGACAGCAAAGGCAGATTCCAGAGCTCCCTAGCCAACCAGAAGCCACAGTGGTAAGAGTATGGCTCAGTGAGATTGTATTTAAAAATGGAAAGTGGGAGAAGAAAGCACTGGGTGTCTTCTGGTCTTCACATGTGCATGCGCCTGTGTGCAAACATCGTACAAGTGTTGTTTTCCCAATTCCTCTTTGGGCCTGGAGAAGTGGTTAAGATTACTTTCTACTCTTTCAGAGGCCCCAGGTTAAACCCCCAGTATCCACGTGGGTTCACATCATCTGTAACTTCAGTTCCAGAGGATCAAATGACCTCTTAAGGCTTGGTAGTATGCAGAAAAAACACCTATATGTATTAAAAAAAAAACATTGCTTAACTTTACCTTCAAAGGGGTATCATATGTTCATAGCCTTATAGTAGCTTCTATTATAAGGAAACAGTTGTCTGAGTACAAACAACTCAAGAACAACTCCATCTTGCAGGCAGGGTCATACATACTAAGCTCATGTTCCTAGGTCCAGGAACCTACTCCTAACCTGTTTGGTGAAAACTCCCTTGCTCAACCCCTTGTGTCAAAGTATGGTAGAGTAATGCTACAACCTACCCTGTGCCCCTCGATTTGTGGTCTTGTCCTTTAAATGAATATGTTGTACAATTTCTCTTCTGGTCGCAGTTCAGCTTCTAAGTCTGTTGTTTGGCTGTGATTGATCAGTAGTGGCTTAATTACAATAAATGTTTTCATCTGCATTGATCTGGTGTTTGAGTCATTGGATTTATGTCGTGTTTAAGCGTACTCAACAACACATCAGATATTTGCATTATGATACATAACAGCAGCAAAATTACTTATGAAGTAGCAACAAAAATAATTTTATGGTTGGGGGTCACCACAACATGAGGAACTGTTTTAAAGGGTTGCAGCACTAAGAAAAGTTGAGAACCACTGCTCTAGAACATGCTTACAATTTAAAAATAATAATTCTTTTTTAGCATTTAAAAGATTTTTTTTTAAGTGTCAGGGAGCTGAGGCCATAACTCCTTTGGTAGAGTGCTTATGCAACATAGACGATGTTCTGGGTCCTATCCTCACCACATAAGCCAGGTGTGATGGCGACATAAACCTAGAATCACAGCATTTAGGAGAGGGGGAGGATTCAGAGTTCAAGATTTTATAGTGATTTTGAGGCTAGTCAGGAATATCTATATATCTCAAAAAAATGGGGTGAGGGGTGATGGGGGGATGGCTCAGCAGGTCAAGGTGCTTGCTACCAAGGCTAAGAATCTGAGTTTGATCCCAGGGGCACGTATGAGGAAAGCAGAGAATTGATTTCCACAAGTAGTCCTGCCTTCTGACCTCCATGTGCTACCTTCCAGAAATAAAAATGTAATTCAAAGGAAAAAAATAAAAACAAGCTGGGCATAGTAGCGGCACACACCCTTAATCCCAACAATCAGAGGGCAGAGGCAGGTGGGTCTCTGAGTTCAAGGCCACTCTGGTCTGGAGAGTTCTAGGATAGGGCCATATATATATGTATGTATACATACATACACACACATACTTGTTTATAAGTATGTATATTTAAGCAAAGCGAATCTACACAATATAACTCATAAATTAACCATGATTTTAATAAACTTAGAGCCAACTACTGTACTTGAAATGGACATTACCTTCAGTTTCCAAGAACTTCTTGAACACTGTTACGTCTAAACACGTATGTGTATGTATATATGTATGTGATATATGTATATATAGGCCAGAACTTGATATTGGGTATCTTCACCACTCTCTACCCACCTTAACTCTTTAAACCTAGAATGACTTGAATCAGCTAGACTGGTTGAGCAGCAAGCTACAAGATCTTCTTGCCTCCCTTTCCCCAGCTGGTGAATCACAGGAACACACTGCTACAACCAACTTTTTACACGGATCAGTTACATATATGGGAATGTATCCTAGGCCCTCATACCTGGTTATAAGCACTTTACCCTTCCCTAGTCTACTAAACACCTAACTTTGGCTGAATGGCACATGGAATAGCTTAGCCAGATGTTGTAGCTCATGCCTATAATCTCAGTTTTCCAGAGGCAGATTCTAGGCTAACCCAGGTTAACATGAGACCCTCCTCTCTACCATCATTCCTACAAAGGACTAATTCGAGACGTTATCTTCTGGCTACCTTACCTTCCAGAGTCCTGTGTGACCTTGGCTTTGCCAGGTAGATCCATTTATAGGAGACCTGACAAATAAGACGTGGCCAAAATCCTGCAACAGATTAGATTCAAAAACCAAAACCAGGCACTGAGAGATGGCTCAGAGGTTAAGAGCACTGGTTGCTCTTCCAGAGGTCCTGAGTTCAATTTCCAGCAACCACAAGGTGGCTCACAACCATCTGTAATGGGAGCTGATGTTCTCTTCCGATGTGTCTGAAGAGAGTGACAGGGTACCCATATACATAAAAGAAATAAAATTTTAAAAACAAACCCAAACAGAACAGAAAAACAAAATCTGGAAACTAATTGGTTGGGACTACCGTTATAGATTGCTTTTCCTACTTCACCAGTTGAGATAAATTATTCTGTCTCGAAAAATCAAGCGAGGTGGGGAGATACAGAGGCTTAAAAGGCAGAAAAAGATGCTTACCCATTCCTTTCTTCCCAATCATTTAAATAAAAACAAGGACTTCTATTTCTGTCAGCGTGTCTTCGTATCTTCCTCATGTGTGTAGGTGCTTTCAAGGCTGGAAGAGAACATCAGACCACTTCAACCTGGGATTCAAGCCATTCATCATGGGGACTGGGGATCAAGCCCAGGTCCTCTGGAAGAGGGTAACGGTCTTAATCATGGAGTCATCGGCTTAGCACTCTTACACCTTTTAAAACGTGTGAGTCTGTGTGTGTGTGTGTGTGTGTGTGTATCAGTTCATAGGTGGAGGTTAGAGGGCAACTTGTGGGAGTCAGTTCTCTCCTACATGTGGATCTCAGGAATCAAACTCAAGTTGCTGACCCCCCCAGCAAGTACATTTACCCACCGAGCCATCTCATTGTAGGCTGGTCTTGAACCCCTGATGCTCCTGTCTCCAGCTCTCAAGTTCTGAGATTACAGGCATGGGCCATCACTCCTAG